AAGCCCCATCATTTGCAAAAACGTGGATGAACACTGAGGGCATTATGCTAAGTGAATGAGGTCAGAGACTAATACTCTATAATCTCACTTATATGTGGAATCTTTAAAAAAAAAATTCATTAAAATAAAGAAAAAACTCATAGATACAGAGAACAGATTGCTGGTTGCCAGAGGCAGGGAGTAGGTAGGGGTGGGCAAAACGGGTGAAAGTGGTTGAAAAGCACAAACTTTCAGTTATAAGATAAATATAAGTCCTGAGGATCTAATGTACAGCACAGTGACCAGTTAATGATACTGTAGTATATATTTGAAAGTTGCTAAGAAAGTAGCTCTTAAAAGTTCTTGGGCTTCCCTGGTGGTGCAGTGGTTAAGAATCCACTTGCCAATGCAGGGGACACGGGTTCGAGCCCTGGTCCAGGAAGATCCCACGTGCCGCGGAGCAACTAAGCCCTTGCGCCACAAGTACTGAACCTGTGCTCTAGAGCCCAGGCCCACGAGCCACAACTACTGAGGCCCACGCACCTAGAGCCCATGCTCTGCAATGAGAGAAGCCACCACAATGAGAAGCCTGCACACTGCAATGAAGAGTAGCCCCCACTCGCCACAACTAGAGAAGGTCGCACACAGCAACAAAGACCCAAAGCAGCCAAAATAAATAAATTTATTAAAAAAAAGTTATCATCACACACACAAAATTGTAACTATGTGTGGTGTTGAATGCTAACTTACTGTAGTAATTTCACAATATATATTATATATCAGTGTGTTGTACACCTGAAACTGATACAATGTTATATGCCCATTATATCTCAATAAAAAATTCTGCTTCCCAACATCAGCATAACTACTCAAATCAACATAACTAGTCATTTACTCCCCACCCCCAGTAGCTCATGTAATAACCTCAGAATACTGATACAAACACTACTACCAGTAACAAGATTACTAAAATAGGTTTGCAATTTTTTTCAGTTTTCACCCTTTTATTTTTAACCTATCTGAATCTTTGTTTTAAATGAAATTCTTTAATACAGCATAATTTTTTATTTTGCTTTGCTAGTCAATCTGAAGATCTTTTAATTTTTATTTATTTTTAAAATATTTATTTATTTTGGCTGTGCTGGGTCTTAGTTGTGGCACGTGGGACATTCCTTGTGGCATGTTTAGCTGCAGTATGCAGACTTCTTAGTTGCAGCATGCATGTGGGATCTAGTTCCTCGACCAGGGATCGAACCTGGGCCCCCTGCATTGGGAGCATGGAGTCTCACCCACTGGACCACCAGGGAAGTCCAGGTCTTTTTATTTTTATAGGTAAATTAAGCTCATTCACTTTTATTGGTATGATTGATACATTCTGCCTCATATTCTTTGGTTATGTGACCTCCTGTCTTATTCTCTCTGATGTATCTTTGTGTTTAGGAAGGTTTGTATTTTTTGTCCTTTAAACAAATGCTTCCTTTTAATACCCTTATTCCACTTTCTTGGATACCATCTATTTTTTACTTTGCCCAGTCTTGACAGTAGCAAAGTAACCTTTCTCCTCCTTTCCCTATCATCCAGCATTTAATCTGAATATTATTTTTACTCACAGTAAATATTATAAAGTTGTCAATTAGCTTTTCTAGCTTCCATACGCTCTCCATCTTCTCTCTTTATATTCTGATGGTTGAGCTACATACACATTGTCGAATCATACTTCTTACTACCCTATCTCCCATATTTCTATCATTTAATATTAGTTCTATACATAAATATTTAATATTCACCATCAGTCCTTATGCCTATGTCTCACCCATCCTCTTGGTTCAAGCTTGTTCTCAAAAAGATTCTGATATATTTATATTCTGATATTCTGATGGTTGAGCTACACACACATTGTCAAATCATAGTTCTTACTACCCTATCTCCCATATGTCTATCATTTAATATTAGTTCTATACGTAAATATTTAATATTCACCATCAGTCCTTATGCCTATGTCTCACCCATCCTCTTGGTTCAAGCTTGTTCTCAAAAAGATTCCTCATGGGAATGATAGTCCCTAAATTCTAATATGTTCATAACAATGCGTCTGTGGATGTTATACTTGAAGGCCAGTTTGTCTCAATATATAGTCCTTGGCTTACATTTTCTTTCCTTGGGTGTTTTAAATTTCCTACCCATTACCTTCTGGTATAAAACATTGTAGTTCCAAACTCTGATATTAGTGTTATGTGTTGTCCTTTAAAAGTGACTTGACTGCCAGTCTCTGGTCAGTGTATAATTCTGAAAATAACACTCTGTCTTGGCAAGCTTGAGAGATGGGTTACATCCTCCTTCCTCTGAATTACAGCTGTGTCACCTCAGCTAAGTTATTTAAACTTTATATGCCTCAGCTGCAAAGTGGGGATAGAAATGGCAGTAAGATTATTCTGAGGACTGGATTAGGCCATGTTTGTAAAGGACCCCAGTCTTTCCAGGAAGCCAGCTGTACCAACAGGTTCCTTTCGAATAGCACTTCTTTTTTGGTAGAGTTTAAAAACTTAAGACTGAAGTTTTTGCAGCCACCGACAAATGACAGTCAATAGCGACTCACATTTCAGTAACTTTGTAAAATGCTTTTGTGACTGGAAGCAGCTTAAAGAGAGCAATTAGTTTAGCATTGAAGAAAAATGGCATTATCTTCCTGTCTGTTATAGTCCTTGTTTTTTAATAGGATTTTTGTTTGTTTGTTTTCGGCCTTGCTGCTTTCAACTCTAGGCTTTCTCCACAGCCAGAAAAGACATCTCAATTAGTGCGGTCCCTTGAGTTCTTTGAATAATACTGATCAGATGATCAATATTTAACCAGCTTTATCAGTTCTTTGGACAGACCAATTAACTAATGAAAACATCTGTTAGCATGAAGGGTGGTCCAAGAGTCAGAAGAAATTTGTTTGCTAGATTCTCTCTCTCCCAGGATTTCTCACCAGTTATCTAAATTTCCAATCAAAAATGCACCTGCCGGATGTTCCCTAAGGATGCGTGTCTACTATTCAGAACAAGAATAATCTCAGAATGTGTTTCTGGTGAGCAGGGTTTATTTTGCGTGGGCTGACACACAATGACAAGCATCTGGGAACTGATAGCATCACTGATGCCCTGACGTAGCTTCAGGGCTTTTACATCTAACAGTCTGATGAACAGTTTTGGCCTTTGAGGCCAAAGCTGGAAAGAGGAAAGTCCCTAATCCTGGATGGATGCGACAGCCCCTCCCTGACTGTTTTGTTTTTCTTGCTCTAGACGACCTTTTTAAAAGTTCTCACTGGGACTTCCCTGGAAACCCAATGGTTAAGACTTCATGCTTTCACTGCTGAGGGCCTGGAGTTCGATCCCTGGTTGGGGAACTAAGATCCCACATGCTGCACGGCAAAAAAAAAAAAAAAAAAAAGTTCTCACTGGAGCTATAATCTTTCAAACAAGCAAGCGGGGCACTGATTGGGCACAGGGGTTGCAGATATACTCTGCCAATTGCTTTTTTCATGCCGGAATAAACCCACACCTGCCCTGTCCATTTGTGAGCCCAGCACACATGCGGACGGACTTGGTTTTGCTGAACGCAACCTTTGCCTCCCCTTTGATTATCCAAGGAGCACCACTGGGTTTACTGCTCCTTCTTCAAACACCCTTGCCCTGTGTTTTATATGCACACCTGAGGGTTAAAGAGATGTTCTGTGTGTGGTTCCTTTGCTTGTCAAATGAAGCTTCTGACATTCAGCGACCCCAGCAAAGGATCTCGCTGTCTTGAGTGGGATGAATCCTGAGGACACGACTGCCAGAATAATTCTTTTCACACAGTTCTGAAGTCATTTCCTGCCTGAAACTCTCCACGGTTCTACACAGCCGTCAGGACCAACTCACTTTTTGATGTAACGTCCTAGGCCCTCACGCTCTGCCACCCCTCAGTGTCCTCCACACACCTTTTCCTCTGGTCCTTCCTCTGCTCATCCTTCAAATGCTACACGTGGCCCCTTTCATAGCCCTGTGGTGGTTTCCCACATGCCACCCTTCTGCCTGACGCCACTTCCCCGATACTTTAAATAATGCTTATTTTTCAAAATGCAGCACATCCAAGAAGTCTCCTGGGATCACTACCTCAGACCGAATTTTCAGATGGCAATTTTCTGTGCTGTTGGACATTTTGGACATGTTTGGCTCAAATGCGTGAGGATAAGCAATGGAGTGTGGAGGACCCATGAGCTGGGTCCTCCACATTTTTGATCAGCTAGAAGAGGGATCTTGGTAGTGTGTAAGCAGCTCACAACAGCTGCTGTACCAAGCCCAGGCGAGTGCAGAGATGAAGGGGAGAAGAACGGTGTGCCTGGGAAGCTTGAGGGGAATGGACACTGCATTCCAGGCTCGCTTTGGCTTTGGAAGATTCCAGGCAAGTTAGGCCAGGCTGAAAGGGATCTATGTGCTGGACTAAAAGCAGGAATTGCTCCAGGTAGATTTGCCAGGGGAAGAGGCAGACAGCTCTGTGCATTCAACAAGGAAGGTTCAGGCACAGCTGGATCCAGGAACTCAAGCAATGACATCAGGGTTTTCTCTTCTCTTCCATTCTCTCTCCAGCTCCCCCGTCCCTACACCTGCCACTGAGGTCTTGCTTGTCTCTGCTAGTCTTTGCTCTGCCTGCAGGCTCTCTGCAGTTGCAGGAGAGATGTTTTCAGAAGCCCCAGGCTCATTCTTAACTTAGCCATCATGCCTCTCCTCTGAGGTCCACAAATCAAATGCAAGGAAAATTTTCCTTGGCTGGCCAAAAGCAGGAGGAAACTGTTTGACTTCAGGGATCTACCCAGCACCCTTTGTTGTTATCTGATTCTATTTAAGACTCATTCATTCAAAGACCCATTTCTTGAACATGTACTTTGTGCCAGGCATAGGATACAGTGGTAACTAGGGAGAGCAAAGGGAAGAAGTTGAGTGGTTTCAGGATGGAGTGGGGACGAAAAAATTCACTGTTGCTATTTTGGTGATACTCACAGGTTGATGCTCTGAATGACGTTGATTCTAAGTAGCCGTGACAAAGTATGTTGGGGAGCATGTGATCCCCCAACGTCTCCTTGTCAAGTCCCACTGCACCCCTACAAAAAAAGACCAGAAACAAAATTTTTTTTAATTGACATTTTCCCCAATAGCTAAAGAAACAGAGAATAGACCTGAGAACCAAAGGCACAGTGAGTATGAACCACTGTCTCGTGCCCAGTGAGGAAAGTACTCCTGAGCCGACATCCCAAAGACAGGCCAGAAATGCTGCTCCCCCAAGGAACCGTTCCCTGGCTGGGCGGGGGCAGGCCTCCAGGGCTTTATTCCCCTGAGGACTTGAGGGACCTTCTGGGGAAGACCTTTGATTTAGAAATAATTTAAGATGCAAAAGAAGTTGCAAAAAAAAAAAAAAAAAAAAGCATCGAGAGTTCCTGTGTACCCTTCCCCCAGCTTTTCCCCAATGATAACATCTTACACAACCGTAGTACACTTCCAAAACTAGGAAATTGCCATTGGTACAATACTATTAATTAAACTATAGGTCTCAGATGGCCAACAGGCACATGAAAAGATACTCAACATCGCTAATTATTAGAGAAATTCAAATCAAAACTACAGTGAGGTATCACCTCACACTGGTCAGAACCGCCATCATTAAAAAGTCTACAAATAACAGACACTGGAGAGGGGTGGAGAAAAGGGAACCCTTCTGCACTCTTGGTGGGAATGTAAATTGGTGCAGCCACTACGGAAAACAGTATGGAGTTTCCTCAGTAAACTAAATATAGAGTTGCCATATGGTTCAGCAATTCCACCCCCGGGCACATATCCAGACAAAACTCTAATTCAAAAAGATACATGCACCCCTATGTTCATAGCAGCACTATTTACAATAGCCAAGACATGGAAGCAACCCAAATGTCCATCGACAGATGAATGGATAAAGAAGATGTGGTGTGTGTGTGTGTGTGTATATATAAAATGGAATACTACCCAGCCATAAAAAAGAATGAAATAATGCCATTTGTTGCAACATGGACTCAGAGATTATCAAACTAAGTGAAGTAAGTCAGAAAGAGAAAGACAGATATATGGTATCACTTATATTTAGAAATGTAAAACATGACACAAATGAACTTATTTGTGAAACAGACTCACAGACATAGAAAACAAACTTGTGGTTTCCAAGGGGGAGGGGGTGTGGGGAAGGGATGGAATGGGAGTTTGGGGTTAGCAGATGCAAACTATTATATACAGGATGGATAAAACAAGGTCCTACTGTATAGCACAGGGAAATATATTCAATATCCTGTGAGAAGCTGTAATGGAAAAGAATATGAAAAGATGATATATACGTATAACTGAATCACTTTGCTGTACAGCAGAAATTAACACACTGTAAATCGACTATACTTCAATAAATTTTTAAAAAGATAAACTGTAGGCCTCATTCAGCTTTCGCCACTTTTAATATGCACACGTGTGTGTGTGTGCACAAGCACGTGGTACTATGGAATGTTAGCACACGTATAGATCTGTATGACCATCACCCCATCAGGACATGGAACTGTGATGAGATACTTCTGCAATATCAATGTCTTGAATGTCAATCCTGAAACAGTTCCTGGCAAACAGGGAAGACTGGGCCCCCAACTCCTCTGCTGTACCTCCCTCACGGCAAGGAACTTGAGACAGTATCTGGTGGTACAGGAGAAAGGATCATTTCCAACAAAAACTGGGAAGCACTGGCCTCCCTGTCCCTGTCTGGGCTCAAGGTGGTGTAAAACAGGGGCACAAGCGCCAAAAGCAAGGCCACAAATTTGGGGAGTCTGGTAACTGCTGCTCCTGTTCAATAGAGGAAAGCGGTCTCGTCAGCACCGGTGGGGGCAGGAAAGGTGACCCAAGGCCCATCCGGTGAGGTCACCTCACCAGCAAGCTCTGCAGCTGGAGGTCAGCCCACACCCAAACCTGGGCTCAGAAGGAGCTCTCGGGGGGCATTACCAGAGTCTGTGTCCTTTCCCGCCACCGCCCCTAGGGAGCGGGCAAAATTACAAGGGTGAAAGACGACAATATGAAAGTTGAGGTGTTCTCTGAGCTTTGCCTGACACCCTGTAGGCTGCTGAGAGCTTTTTCCCTCCTCTCTTAAAGAAGGGAAGTTAAAAGCCCTAGGGGTCTTACTTTTGTGAGGAAACACTATTTTCTCCAAAGTACTGATAAAGTGTAATCGTTTTCCTTCACAAAAAATTGGCTGAAAACTCAAGGCCAAACTAGGGCACTGCAGAGAAATGTCTAAAGAAAAGAAAGCACAGGAGGCCTCAGATGAGAAATGATTTCATGGTGGGAGGCGGGAGCTCCTGACCAAGGATCTTGGAGGAACAGGCGGTCAAGGTCACAGCTCCTCCCAGGGCCCATCCCAAGGCGAGGCCGTGTGTGATCCTCAACCGGCTGGTCAGGCAGATGCAATGGGGTGGCCCAGAGTAGCCCCATGGGGTCTCCTCTCCTTGTTGGCAATGATGGGGATGCTCTCTCTGTTCTTGATGGATCGTCCTCCCCTCACTCTCTGTGGAAGTGCGGGGTCTGCATCAGATCAGCCAAGAGCTCGGGGGCTTATCATCTGGACACACTAGGTACCAGTCTGGTGTCAGCCACAGCACTTTTCTAGGGCCTCTGGTCTAAGGAGGGAACTGCCTTGATTTTTCTCCCAGAGATTTTGGGCTCAAAACACCTCCATTTCCCAGAGCACAGTACTGGGAGATGCCTTAGGTGGTTAAAACTTCAGCTCTCTGAAGGCATCACGTGTCACTGTAAATGCCATCAGTGCCATCAACCCAGGCTCTGAGGACAGGAGATAAATGTCTGTTCCTTCCCCTCTTTAAGACCTCACTGTGTGCCTGGCACAGTGCCCGGTGCAGTATCTGTTATAGCACGAAATTCTCATAAAGCTGTGTTGATGAAAAATTAATCAGTCAACCTAGGAAAGAAATGGAAAACTCTATTTGAGCCAAATTGAGGATTATAACTTGAGAACAGCCTCTCAGAAAGCTCCGAGAACAGTTCTACCCATTAGGTCAAAGTATAGTTATAAGTTCTGGTGACTGGACTGTACATTAAGTGACACGTTATTCATAGTTTATACAATCTAGCAAGTAGTAGGTCATCGTGGCTTCTTACAAGATTAAGAAGGAATGTTCTGTTTTGTTTTGTTTTGTTTCTTTTGCGTTACGCGGGCCTCTCACTGCTGTGGCCTCTCCCGTTGCGGAGCACAGGCTCCAGACGCGCAGGCTCAGCGGCCATGGCTCACTGGCCCAGCCGCTCCGCGGCATGTGGGATCTTCCCGGACCGGGGCACGAACCCGTGTCCCCTGCATCGTCAGGCGGACTCTCAACCACTGCGCCACCAGGGAAGCCCAGGAATGTTCTTTTTTAAGGAGCTGTCTTGCTGATGCTGGGAGAATGGTGCTCTTTATGGCTGAGCAGGTATTTCCACCGATGGGGAGGTTTGGTCGATGCACAGTGCAGATGCACTGTGTGGGGAGAGAGGATGCCAAAGGGCAGAGAAGAAATTTTATGTTTAAATTTTTCTTGTCTTGCCATAAAACACGAATTTTATTTCCCAGCTGCGATGTGGGCTTTTACCTCCATTTTCTACCAAGCAAATGGAGGTGAAGGTACATGCCCAATATCTTCCAGCTAGAAAGCAGAGGCAACAGAATTGAACCTGGGTCAGCCTGGCCGCAGGTCTGCCTGCTGTCCACTGCCGGGCACAGCTCCCGGGAAGCCACTTCAGCTGATCAGATGGGAAAGGCAGCTGTCAGACACAAGGAGGGAGCAAGCCTCCCCCAGATCACTGCTTTCAAATTTCCCAACACTCATGTATGTCTCCTCCCTGGAGGCCTTATTGGTGTGCACCCAGGCCAAGGGCAGGAAGGTGAGTGTTCAGGTCTTCTGCTCAGGCCTTGATTCTGGCCAGAGACGCGTCCTTTCAACCTTGCTCTCTGCCCCCAGAGCCCCCTCCCCTTCTCTCCCAGTCTCCTCCAAGTGCCCAGATTTCCAGCGACCTTCAGATTTGATATATTGAACGTCTCCAAAGGATATTCCCATTGACACTGAGCATGCCGCTGTGTGGAGCTCAGCAATAAAAGGGGGAAATTAACAGGCATTTAAATTCTGAAAATTAATGATGAGAGGTCAGAGATTTCCGAACATCTGTTTCCAGCATTTTCAAGGGGGCCTTCAATTTGCAGGCAGCACTGAGCCACGCGGTTATCAGCAGTTACTTCACACAGTGTCACGTCCAGGAGCTGGGAGTGGATGGTGGGACCCAGCCACTGCACTCACGTGCTTTGTGGCTCGATCCAAGCAGTGTGTCCACTGAGGTTCAGGGTCCCGGCCCTGCTTGTAGGATTCTACACACCCATCTGAAAACCCTGAGTCTGGATTTGCCCAAGTGTCAGAGTTCTGGAAACCGAGGATTCAAAACAGAAGTCCTTGTGCCAAGGAACGGAATGTTTCTAGGGCTGCACCATCCAATAGGACAGCAGTAGCCACACGAGGCTGTTAAGTATCTACAACATGGCCAGTCTGAACTGAGATGCACTCTGAGTGTAAAATATATACTGGATTTCAAAGACTTAGTATAAAAAAAGTAATTATCTTTTATGTTGCTTATGTTGGTGAAATGATAATATTTTGGCTAAACTGGGTTAAAGGAGATATATTATTAACTCCATTTCATGCAAACTATTATATATAGAATGGATAAACAACAAGGTCCTACTGTATAGCACAGGGAACTATAGTCAATATCCTGTGATAAACCACAATGGAAAAGAATATGAAAAAGAATGTATACATATATATATATATATATAATTGAATCACTTTGCTGTACAGCAGAAATTAACACATTGTAAATCAACTACACTTGAATAAAATAAATTTGGAAAAAAGTCAACTACTTTGTTTCATTCTACTTTTTTCATCAGATCTATGACAATTGAAAAGTGCATTATGTGGGTCTCACACACTTCTGTAAGTCACCATTGCTCTAGAGTTTCTGTAGCTTGGTGTTTCTTGGGCAGTGGGGCGCTGTTGTCACC